CGGCGTCGTGGAGCAGTATCTCTAAAAGGCAAGGCCTTCGCGTGCCCCTAGCATCAAAGCCCATGCGGTGACCATCGAGGGCTTTCTTTAAGACTTGGACCTGGGCCTTGGGCTTCAAGACTTTAAGGTTGTGGATTCAGGAGAGAGACCGCTGCAACTCCTGACAAACTAGGCTCTGACAGCAACCGCTGCGAAGACTCCTCAAGCACTCGACGCTGGAGATGCTGGAGCACCGGCAGTTCGAAGGGAATGCTCAAAGCCGCCGGCTCCAACGGATCGGCGGTCATGGTTGTTCTGCGTAGGTTGGCACACAGACTTTATCAACTCTCGCTTCAACTCAACTCAAACCCCAGTGCATCCCTGCTCCAGGGGCCGGTTGCAAAGTCCAGCATCGGGTGTGGCAGGAGAGCGGTGTGCACTAGGAGACTGAAAAGCTTCATACCCCGTAGATCCTTCAGGCCAACCAGGGCTCACAACTCAAACACTCGTAAGCTTACGGTACTGACAAAGTCAAGGGAGTGTGCAACATGCATGTCGTAACGGACTCGAGGCCAAAAAAGTTGCCTTCGATCCCGCCCGTCGGTCCATGTCGGTCCTGGTTGAAGCCTTTTTTATGTAGCTATATTCCGCTGACCTTCGTGCAGGGTACCCTCGTCTCCCACCTCGTCCCCCAAGTCGGTTTTCTCCTGTGCCCTCTGCTGTTGCTGTTGAGCCATTAATTAAGGTTCGTTCAAAACATTTGATGACTTTCAGAAGCGATCCGTCGAGATATTCTCAACAACTGTTGCTGGTCCGAGTCAACTCTTGGGACAACTGCCTGGCAGGTTCTTGACTGGGTCGATCTGGAATTTACCGAGTCGGCCTTCAGACCAGGCCAGCATCAAGTTTCCCTATAGAGCCGAAGTCCAACAACGACAGTCGCACATTCTCGATACATCTAGCTGCTCAGCCCAAAAGCAACATCGCCAAGGCCACGCCGACCTGATTCTCATGAGCGATGCCACGTTGCTGCAAGTAGTTTTCCGGTGATGGTGGATAGCGCAGATTAGATCATTGTGGGGTTGCTTCAGACCCCATCCAGCATAGGCTCTGGTAAAGCTGGAAAATTCGCTGCATGCCCCCATGCCATATACGGCAGCTCCATTCGTGCACCACCTAGCTAGAGGGCAGAGCACATCTTCGATGATGGTTTGGATTGACTTTGTCAGACTTGGGATGGAGTGCTGAAGGCTTTGCGAGCGGATTTTGAGCTCACAGGCTGACACGAGATGGACGCGTGAAGATGCTGTGAAGGCTTGAGACAGCTCCAGTGACAGACATGAGACCCTGATCAGGGGATCCGAGCCATGATGACCAAAGGCGAAAGAAGGTCCAGGGGCAGCAAGGACCCGTGGCAGTAGCCTGATTCCCTTTCAGTTTTGGCCCTCCTCTCGTCGACTGAAGAAGAAAACAGGCACTCGTGTCAGGGAGTTCTCCAGACCCGGGCATGCTGCCGCCGAGGTCGTGTACTTTCCACATCTTCGCCGGCCTTTGTTGAACACACTGCTTTACCTTTGCACCGCTGGAGCACCCAGCACAGGCTTTGCAGAAATTCGGCCATGATTCCGGAGGTTTCAGCTGGTGTGTGAACCAGGGTCTGGAGAGGGTGGTCCGTCACGGCGACGGCTCTGACGAACTGCACCTTTGCAACTTTAGGGATTTGAGGTGCTTTAGGTCCCTTTTTTCTGGGAGAACTTGCCAAGCGTCCCGGGATCTTCCTAAGGTTGGCTTTGGTCTGGGGTCCTTGGTAGTGTAGGCCCAGGCCCGCTGCTCCCCTGGTCCTCTGGTCCCGCTTGTCCTTCGAATCCCGAAGCCCCTCCGATCTGTTCTCTAGCCCTGGGCTACGTGAAAACTTGGGGGCAGGCTTGGCAGTTTAGCAAATGTGCAGAAGTGGAATTGCCAAAGGAGCGGCGGTGTTTAAGATATGTGATGAACCTGGATTGCCAAATGAAGGGGCGTGTTTAAGACATATGATGAACCGGTCTTGCGCAGTGGGGAGAGGGAGATATATAATGAACCTGAATCGCCACATGAGGGAGCGTGTTTAAGATATATTATGATGAACCGGAATCGCCAAAGGAAGGGGCGTTTTAAGTTATATGATGAGCCGAAGTCGCCACATGAAGGGGCGCGATTAAGATATATGATCAAATCGGCAACTGAGGGGGTGTGTTTAAGAAACATGATGAACCGGAATCGCCCCATGGGCGGAGGGGGGGTGTTTAAGAGAAGTATTGATTGATGAACCGGAATCGCCAAGGGAGGAGGCATGTTTAAGAGATATGGTGTATCGGAATCGCCCCTGTAAGTTGTAATTCCCCAACAGGCTCACGCAGGACAGGAGCCTGCAACTTGGTGTAATCCTCCAATAGCCTGCTTGACGCAAAGCAACACCCTGCAAATTGTAATTCCTCACTAGCTTGCACAAACAGGAGCCTGGAAATTGTAATACCCCAAGTGCTTCACCCAATAGCCTCCAATAGCTTGACGCACGGCAAGACCCCGCAAATTGTAAGTCCCCAATAGCTTGACACAAGACGGGAGATTCGAAATTCTCATCCCCCAATAACTTGGGGCAAAACAGGACCCTGCAAATTGTAATTCCCCGATAGCTAGATGCAAAACAGGAGCAAATGCTGCAGTTTACAGTGTTGCAGCCAAAAACAGGGCAAGGAGCGTTAGCAAATAAACCCTCCGCCAATTTAATTTGCCAATGTTGTCGGAGGTGAAGTCCTGGCCCCACTGAAGACGCGTAGCCAAAGACCACTGCCAAGGAGGATACACTGGTGCTTTGGGCGAACTGCGACAAGCAACTTTGCTTGAAATCTATTGAATTCATGCGGCCAGTCCTCCAACCCAGCGTGACATAGCCCAAGATATCGCGGCACACTGTATTTTCTGAGTCGAGCCCGTGTTCATCAGATGCCCTGGATTTGCAGGTGTCAGAGCAGCAGGCACGCACATAGCTGCACAAAGCGAGAGCGGGGGTTCTCCCTACACCTTAGCCTGGCGAAAGAGAGAGAGAGAGAGAGAGAGAGAGAGAGAGCGGGAGAGAGAAAGAGAGAGAGTGAGAGAGTGACGAGAGTGAGTTAGTGATTGAGTGAGTGAGTGAATGAGTGAGTGAGTGAGAGAGTGAATGGGAGAGATAGAGAGGGAGAGCAAAGCAAAGTGAGCGAGTGAGTGAGAGTGAGAGAGAGAGAGAGAGAGAGAGAGAGAGGGGGGCTTGCCTCNNGCTTGCCTCCTTCATCCCTAGCCCTGATGAAAGAAAGAGAGAGAGAGAGTGGGGGGGGCCTGTGCCGGGGGACCCAATAGTCCCCTAAGCCTTGTGGAAGAAGAGAGAGTGAGTGAGAGAGAGAGAGTGAGAGAAAGAGGCAGGGAGCGAGAGCGGGAGCGAGGGAAGGAAAAAACTCAAAGTATCCGTTCATCAAGGTATCCTGAATACGAGCCCGACATTGACAGCTTCCTGGAGCTGCTGGAACCTTTCTTCCGCGTCACCGAGGAGGAGGACGGTACTCGTGTCTGATTTACACTCGGCTGCATCCATCCTATAGTACCAGTCAAACCTAGACCTAGACCTGTTCATCATGCTGGATCCGCCTCCTTTGTCGTTCTGTCTTTAGTTACGGTGAAGTGGGTTCTGAAGTTCACACTTTCAGGAAGGTCCACAGAAAGGCTTCGGCGGCCCGTGCGAGGTAAGCGAAGGCGGGGCCTCATGTGTATTTTCTTGCGGAGACGTGGATCATTGCGGTGTCTGCATGGAAGCCTTCGTGAGCCGGTTTGGCCTAGGGAGCGTCACTCAAACCCCGATTTGCACCTGCGGATCACCAGGCGTTGTGAAAATACGGTCCCTCCGGATCTTGAACGTGTCTGACTCAGCTTGCTATTGAGCACGTTGACCCCGAGACAAACCTGTTTGCAGCGCCCACAGACTGAGATGGAGCTGGCTCAAAACGAGCTGGCACGCGCCAAGGCGCAACGGCTGCTGGGGGATGGGTGATGCGGTACGATCGGGCTTTGGCCTTCTCAAGCTGAGGGAGCTGTGAAGCTTCGTTCTTCGTCGTTTTTTTTTTGAGAGAAACCTAGTGCATGCTATCAGTTTGCTAGGTGATGATGAGCCATGAGGGCAGGCATGCACTCGCTAATTCTTACCTGACATGTTGTACGTGTTTGCATTCATAAACTTGGACCTCATCTTGGAAACACAGCAAGCTTTCGACACGGATAGAGGATCCACAACACTTCAAAACTTCGAGTGGTGACCTCTTGGCACCTGATTTGATTTCATGCTTTACCCCGTCCTTTACCGGCCGGGAATAAACATGGCCACATGCATCCTGTTGGGCTCTTGCTCTTGCTCGTTCAGATGATTTAACGCTATTTGTTGCAGCACAGCACACCCTTGTCAAGCTCACGTTCGGCAGAGGGTTGCAAGCGATTCTATCTTGTTCAAGGCGTGTACAGTAAGTGATGTAGTAGCCAAAGAACTAGGGCATACTAGGGCTTTGCTTGTTCGTTGTTTACGCACTTTTTCGCTGTGGCATGCCGGAACCTTAAACCAAAAGTACCAAAATCTTGAACAGGATGCAGCTGTTTGTGAGGTCGGTGGCGCAGGGGAAGCATGCATCAAGCGCTGCTTCTTCTGAGCCAGAGTGACTTTCGGCAGTGCGACGAAAAGCACAAGGGCAGTGTGGTTTGTTCTTTGTCTCTTTGCTTTTGGAGTGAACTTCGGCACCCCCCCAGGTGTAGTCTGGGGCCGGCTGGGCTCACGTGCTGTTGTAGGCTTCACTTCAAGTGCAAAAATGCAGCTTCGGGGGAGGAGAACTGGAACAGTACGGGCGATCAGCCAGCTTTGAGCGGGCCAGACACAGCTGTGAGTGCCAGATTGCCAGGTTTAGTGTTCATGGCTTGGGTTTGGGGATGTTTCGCCTTGAGAGGTCGCAGTGCCAAGAGTCTCGACGCAGGTGGCGGACAGAGCGTCTTCCATGTGATTTGCGCGCACTTCTTCTGCTTTGACTGTGCCAGCCAGCAGTGCCTCCGCAAACTTCGGAGATCCGGGTCGCCGGTTCTGTAATATTGCACAACCATTTGAGATCGGGGCTTTTCCGGTTGCGGGATGGCCGCCCCTTCTCCAAGTTTGTGCTTCGTGCGTGTTTCGTGAGAAGATACCTCTGACTTTCAGCTAACTTAATTAGCGAGTACTTACTTTCAGCTCTTCCTTGTAGCACCCCCACACAGGTCCAGGTGGAGAGTTCTGATGTCAGGTACATGAAGCAGCAGCAGGCGCAGGCGAACGAGTACTTCTGCCCGACATGTCGCGCCACAGCTCACGAGGCCATCTTGTGCACTCAGCACTATCGAAGGTTTTTGTTGACTGTCAAGGACACCTTTGTGAGACTGATTGGACTTGAAGCTTTGTCGACCGGCTTCTAGTTGTGGCACCTGCACTCACTGGCATCGGTGAAGGAAGGGATTGATCGGCCACAGACCTCTTTCAATGACCTAGCATGCTACATGTTGGTTCAAGCCTTGTATCGGCTATGATGCATCACGGTGCCAATATTCCCTACAAGCTCGGGCTTTGAATGGTTTAAAGTATGAGATGCAACACATAGCCCCAACTTCAGGGACGGTTTGCCAGCTTCAAGGATGCCAGCAGGCAAGCTCATGCTTCTTTGCCCATGCCACAGTTCAGATCTCCGAAAAAAACAGGGCAGGTAACGGCAGAAGCGGCACATGCAGCACGACCGAAGGAAGTAACGCGTTCTCAAATATCTCCAGAATCTCCAACGCGATAGGTTCAGATGACAAGTTCCACTGTGAATTGGTGTACAATCATTCTCCAATCATGGTAGAGGGACATTATGGCCCTAGGCAGGCCGCAAGCAGGCATGATGCAAGCACCGCCTTGTGCGGGGTCGACCTTTGGAGCCTTTGGAGCAGAGAGCAAGTGCACCATCCAGCAATGTCAGGATGATAAGGTGGTTGCTCGGAGCAGGGCTAGGATTCACGCACAGCCCAGTGCAAATCGTGGTGGGAAGATGCGATGATTGCTCAGCAACTGAAATCTGACAGCGCAAGGCTCCAGGGACTTAGTCATGCGGATTGTTGCAATGCCATTAATGTGCAAACGTGAGGTGACCGGCCCTCTCGGCAGTGAGGCTTCACTCAATGCCTATTCTTGTGGACATGCTGTTCAGGTCATGCCCATGCCCGACATTGCCGTGAATCCCAGGCTGTGGCGGGGCCCTCGCCAAAGAGGCCATTCAGGATTCAGGACAGACAGGTTCCTCGATGGTTTCGCGCTGCATTTCCCTGGGTCTCTGGTGTGTCCGCTTTGTCCTCTGAATCCATGCCAGCAGCAGCAGCAGCAGCAGCGCACTTGTGAAAAACCCTGTCGTCCTCTGGATACACAGCTGAAGATTCGGAGCGGGCAGGCCGGTTCCCCAACATGCCCTTTCAGCCCAAATCACTTAGTGAACCTCGAGAAAGCATGAGTTACGGCGTAACTTGCGACTCTTGGAGCTAACACGTTGACCAGCGGAAGACCAAGAAATACCATATGTAAATCAACGATGGGCACAAACAGCCTGGACCTCTTGCCCCATCTTCTCAACAGTTGCGCAATCCAGCCTGGCCGAGGTTTCAGTTTCTGGATGTGAACCGATCCGGTTCTCTGGCCTGGCATTGGGGCATTTTGGGGCAGGGCTTCCAAAGACGTGAGTGGTCCTTTGTCTGGCTTGAGGCTCATGGAAGTCTGCGACACCCTTCAGTGAATCTTGTGTTCTGTATGATCCTAGTAGTCCCTCATTGAAAACGAGAAGGTTGACAAGCAGCCCCTTGGTAAATTTGGCGTGGTGTTGCCAATACCTCTCAGATTTCACCCGTCATCTTTGTGCTGTCGGCTGCTCGCACGTATATATATATATATATACATGATACATACATGTATGTCCGTGTGCGTATATAGAATCCTTGTTCCTTCGCCAGTTCTGGCTTGGCTCCCAAAGTGCGACAGCCGCTGCCAACCTCTTGCGGGGCAAAATGTGCCAGGGGAGATTGACCAAAACATGGCAGTTCAAGCATTGGAGGCTGGCACCTGCTGTGCACACAATGAGACGAATGTATCAGGCTTTGTGCCCAAAGCCAAGGCATCCCGAAGCTTTGGCTGGGGTTTGAAGTTAGAGTGTCAAAAAGTGTCAACCAGATTCAATGCAGGACAGGTGCCTGATCTTGCTCTTGCGGTTGAGTCCCAGCAGGAATCACTTAGAATGGACAACCTGTAAAGCTGAAACGCCGAGTCACCGCATCCTTCGCCATTCATTTCATCCCGATTCCCAAGGCCCGTCCCCAACGTACTGCCAATGATCGTCTTATTTCATCCGGGCCTCCATGAGCTGACTGCAAGGCTTCGAGACCCTGCCACTCCCTGTTTTGTGTAGGCCATGCTACCCATCGACACGGAACGCCTCCATGAGTCCATCGCTGGCGGGCTTCGGACTCGGTTTTTGCATGCCAAAGCACAGATACATCGCATCGAGATCGCTTCGCTACTTAGCAGTGAGGGTCGGTTGCACAAAGAGCTTGGATCCAGTGAGGACTCCAGTCTGCCAGCTTGTGCGGAGAGGCTTTCCTTTTCTACGCTGGTATCATGCCTTGATGTGTCGTTTATCGTTATTCCGCTTGTGTATGTATGTTATCTGAACGTCGCTATCATTGAGATACAGAGTTTCCTGTGAGCCAAGGTGGGCAGCTTGGGCCAAGGTCCGGATGTCATCGTTGCGTCACCTTCGCCCATTGCCAAGACACCACGACTTGATCTGCTTCATGTACCTCTGCATACATGAGGGATCCGATGCCAAGATATGCACCGCGGATGCGCACCGCCCAGAGCAGGGTCATGTCACGGAGAACGACTTCTTTTCGAAAGGAGGCCTTCTGGAATGGCACCACGCTTGGAGTGCAGACTGAAGTTGCGTGCTGCCAAGTTTGCCTGAAGTCAGTCTTGTAAGCCCTGTCGAGTCGAAAACACCCAAGCATGCTTCCCGGATACAGAAGAACCCAATATCCGAGAGGAGCTCGCGTGGCTTCAAGCTTCTGCAGGTCACACTCATGTAGGCATCCTGTGCAGCGCATCTCGGCTTTCCGAGGATCCGTGCCCATCAGCATGACCTCGCTAATGCGGTGAAGCGGGGTGCTGCACCTTCGCGGCTCTGGCATTCACTTCAAAGCGGGGAAGTGAGCAGGCACGTAGTGGGACACTGCCGCATGCGGCTCTTGGCCACCATGCGGATGTGGGCTGGCGGCACGGCCTTTCTTGAACGGGTTGGATTGGTAGCTGTGGCCAACAGACAACCCAGTTGAGACAACAGGAGCTGTTGTGCAAATTTCGAACGTCCAGTGCATAGGACTCCTTTCGGTTTCTGCAAGGTTCCAAACCGGCTTGCACTGGCCAAAGAATCAGCATCACAGCATCATCATTGCTAGCATTACTGTTGAGTTCGTGTTACCCAGGCCAGAATCCAAAGGAATAAATTTCAATCAGAAAGCGAAATTTGGACATACTCTTTCAAAAATGCAACCAATGCACGACACGCGATTCGCTCGAACAGAGATGCTTGACTGGCATTCACCATCGCTTCACATTTTAGGTACAATCACTTGAAGCATGTCCATTTGTGCTTATCTGTTGGTGCATGTTCAACAGCGGCGTGAAAACTGGCCGAGAGCATATGTTTTGTAATTGCATTCTGCGAGCGCAGTTTTGAAACTGTTTGTGTGCCAGTGTCGCGACGTGATCTAATCGGAATTTCTCAGTTCCCCTAGGGCATACATTCCCGACTGAGTCAAAGTGGCATATCGCACAAAAGAAAGACGCACAAACAACCGAGCGACCAGGAAGGCTGTAAAAGCCACATGCATCTCGCACGGCGAGTGATTTCCATCTACCAAGGCGTTGAGCACATCAGGCTGCTTGATTTCCTGTAGTTGCTTTCCGCATGACATATCCTGGTGAGTTTCGAAACACTGTTGTAGGTCGTCTCGTTAGGATGAGCACATTGTGCATAGTCCCTGGCAGTCACTGACCATTGCCAGGTTGCCGGCAGATGACCTCCAAGACTGGTTTCGGCATTGGGATGTGGTCTTTCCCCCAGCCAGCATCGGTTCGTCATCAATCCTATCCAGGATTAGCCAGAGAGCAAGCTTTGCTGCACTTATGTCCCTCACAATTGTTCTGGGTCTATGCAGGTGGGAGGCTGTGCATGTACACTTGCAAGAGACTCTTTCGCAAACCCGGAACCTCAGAATCGATTGTTCCTCCTCGAGCATCAAACCCATCGGTTCAAGACACGGATGTGGATCTGCACAGAGGGTAAGATAATCAGCAGACACTGCCCCATCGGGTGACGCGTTGGGTCGAGAAGTGGGTGGGTGGATGGGAGTTTCTGGGTTTGTGCAGACCAGCCTGCGTTACCACTGACATCCGAGAAAGTAAACGCCCCCCGACATCGCACAATGCTGCTGGAGGGTTTCGTGCCACAGCCCACTCAACAAATGAATTCCTTTGGCTGGTGATGCTCATTGTTGGGAAACATCGGTCAAACCAGGATGATGCTCAGCAGCTAGCGAGGGCAGAAGGGGGGAGGGAGGAAGGTATGCGTTGATTGCTTAGGGCCTGGGGCTGTCTTGGTGCAGCTTCTGTCTTAGAGGATTAATCCCCTCCCCTACAATTAAATCACGCTCGCCCCCTCCTCCGATATTAAGTACCCTTGTTTGTGGAAAACTCTTAATGTTATGGGGGCAATGCTTTGTTTGAATGTTCCCATTTCTCAATGCTTTGTTTGTTCTAATTCTAAACCCTTCCTTTGGAAGGCCACAGACCCTTCAATCCTACGTTCCTGCGGTTGCTGCAACCTGCAATTCCCGGGCAGCGCCTGCATTCATACATATTCCTACGATCCTGCGGCCGACACCTGCTGGCTGCAGTTCCTGCAATCCGAAAGGAAGCCTGAAATCTGAGAGTGGACGGAACGCAACTATAGGTCCTCATGCCATGATGCGGCATGCACGAACCTCTGAGGAGTAGCCGCGGCAAGAGTCGTGCAAGCTGCCAACTGCCAGGAGCATCGAGGAACCCTCGACAAGGGCCAGGTGCTGCGTGCCTTGTGCGAGGCCTGGGATGCAACCAACTCTTTCACAGGATTTTGAACTTCACAAGCTGTTTGCAGCTGCACCTGTATCTGCAGGCCGAAAAGGTTGCAACAGAGACAAGTAGGAGACACTAAAGTTTTGAATTGCGCTGCTGCTGCTGCTGCTGC